TCCCAGGGGGCGCTGATTTTAAGGAAATGGATTGTTTTCTTTTCATTGGCCGTTTCCTCCTGAAGGCAAGAAAGGTAAAAAGTTATTAATCAATAAATCACAAAATACATTGAGTAGATTCAAAGCTTATTCTTATCTATGAGCCGTCTCAGATCCTAAATCTGATCTGCAGGTACCTTCTCCATGAGCAATCCAACGCTCTCCAGATTCTGCACAAACTTCTCCCTCCACTGTGCCAGCTGTGCTTTCCTTCGCTCAGACCTGCTGCTCTCCTCAGCAGCAGCAGCAGCAGCAGCAGCATCCTCCCCCTCCTGAGCGTTCATCTCGCTCTTCCCCTTCCCTCGTCGCTTCCTACGCGAGCGGATCTCCCACACCAGCACAAAGTCTAAATCCAGAACCACAGGGTTAAAAAGCTAAATGAAGACCTTGTTGTCCACCAGTGAGCTTGGTGCTGATGCTACCTACCGATTTTAGTCCTTCCATCTCTGAAGTAGTTCCCCGGCTGAGGAACTGGTTGCTTACTTCTTGTACCACAGTGAACATAAACGGGATCGTCCACGTCGTCATCAGCATTTGCTGCTGAAAGCTGAAAGCGTCCACACGGTTATCAAAATGTAAATTAAAAATGAGCCAGAGCTGCAGGCAAACACACATTTCTCCTCACTGTACTGCATGTAAACCTGCAGTTCTTTATGTTTAACTGCCTTTTGATGAGCTTGATCATACATTGTTGTGCATCATAAAAGCTTCCACTTTGAAGTTATTAGTCCAGACACAGGAAATGATTATTGAGCTTTTTACAGGACAATAGAAAACAGTCTCTCAGTGCAGTAAAGTCATGTTCATTCCCTGCACCTCATAGCATATTGTGCTCCTGTGGAGATTAGATGAAGGATAAAAACCCTCCGAGATTCACCGACACTTCTCTGAGGAGTCAGTGAGGCGTGAAGGGACGAGACAGAGCAGCAGAGTAATTAATGGCTGCTGTGTGAACCAGCAGTTATCTCCTATATCTAGAAAAAGAGAACACACTGCAGCATCGTAGGAGAAAAGTAAACAAGAGCTCACATATCGTGGTGGGATGAAGCCCCCGTTCTGCAGACTCCCATAGCTGTCTGTGGTTTGTGCTTCAGCTCCAGTGTCCAGGTCCAGGAGGACCTCTCTGTCTCCCCGGAGCAGCTCCGAGCTCTTCCTCAGCATCATGAAGATCCTGTGGTTGGTGTCATACAGAACACTGAATCTGTGCTCATCACTGAAGTCATTCACAGATGAAAACTACAGAAACAGAGCAAAAGAGAAGGAAAGCTGATACTGTGCCTTTGTTGTGGTGAGAATTAGGCTGCTGGTGAAGTCAGGATTTGCAGCAGTCTGCGCTTCCCTTGTCCTCTCTCTCCCTCTTCTTCTTTATCTCTACATCCGTCCAGCTCCTCTGCTCCACTGCAATAGCTGCAGAATACCGTAATGTACCGAGCATGTGAGCAGCAGCTTCTACGGCGCTCTGCTGCATCTCAGCAGGGGAAATGTACACGGCACATTTCTACTTGGTAAATAATTTAACAGACAGTCGGGGGAATAGGAGCGTAGTCACTGACTACAGTCAGCATGTAGAACATCACACATGGCATCTTCGTGTTGATGCTAATGGCTGTTTATTCATTTATACCAGTCATTTTAGTTCATTCATTTCATTGATGTTGAAATCTTCATACAATTAGCATAAAATATTCACAGCAGCAGCAGAGAAGCTCCACCCACCTGCCTCGTCACAGTCACAAGGCTGAAGCTGTGTGTGTCTAACAACGCTGCTGGCTGAGATCCTCACAAAACTCCACGTGCATCAGCAGTATAGGTGACGCTGTTTTTATTCTCCAACACCCCTCCTTTTGTTTTCAGCTGACGGCAATGCTGCAGTCAGTGCAGCAGCTGAGGTGAGAAGGCAGTAAAGTAAAGACAAGGAGGTAAATCAGGGCAGGGGTCTAATGAAGGCTACATAAGGGTGTGTAGAAGCCAATAATGTAATAAATTTGCACTTTTTAAAATGTAATAGGCCAATAACGTAATAACTTATTACATTATTGGCCAAAAGATATTACGTTATTGGTTCAGGACTTTCATTATGGTATTGGCCCGTTATCACATTATTGGCTTCTACAGGGTGCATTTATGGAATCAGTGTTTTTGGAGATTTATCCAAGTTAGCAACAACAAACTCAGATCCAGATATTCTCTGCTGCGCTGAGTTTGATCAACCTGTTTAAAGAATCAGTCGGCAGGTTGGAAAGACATGCTATCTTTAAAAAACACAGTTTTTAAAGAGGCAAAAACTGTAAAATTAGAAAGAATCATTGGGTTTTCAACTTTAAGAAAGTCCTTGAACTATCCATCCATCTTAGGGTGAAGGCAGGTTCACCTGGACAGGTAACCAGTCTATCACAGGGCTACACTTAGAGACAGACAACCAAGCACACTCACATTCACACCTACGGACA